ACTCAAGTAGAAAGAAAATGTTTTGAAAATGATGATGGCAACATATATACAAATGTGTGTGACACGATGTATGGATTGTGTTAAGAACTGTATGAGTCCCCAATAAAATGATTTTTTTAAATAACAAAAAGCCATATAGTAGTCTGCATGTGGTGCCTATCCTATCTTCTTTGTTTCACAATTTAAAAAATTTGAAAGCCACTCTTGGCTCTAGGTGGACTATACAAAAACAGGCCGTAAGTCCAAATAGTTTGAAGACCCTGATCTAACACTTGCTCTTAGGTATAAAGTAGAAAAATACAAAGAATAAGAAGATGCTTCTTGTCCTCAGAGAATGACAACCTGTAGAAAGTTCATAAATTAGCTCTTTTTGATCCTAGGTCATCACTTTATTATTTAAAATAATAACTGTGGGGGAGGTGGGAGAGACAGTAGTACCACATGAAAGAAGCACCCATCAATTGAAAAAGCACTTCAACTTCAAAAATGTTGAAAGGGTATAAATGTGTGTCTTAGAGTCAAGGGGATAAATAATAGTCCTTATGACATCCATTATCATTAGCTGCAAGTAACCCCAAACTACTATGAGACTTATTAAAGATACAAAGCTCTATTTAATAAAACAAGAAAGTTTAGCGGTGGAAGTGTTCCAGTATTTATTATAAAAGATATTCATGGGGTCCTGGTTCTGTTCATCTTGTGGCTCTTCTCAGCTTGGTGTCTTCTCTAAGCAGAAAAGCAGACTGCTTTCCATGTCATGTATCAATCCTCACCGTGACCCTCATGGTAAACAAACAGACTCACTGCTACTGAGTCAGTGCCAACACAGTGACCCCGTAGGGCAGGGCAGAACTGTCCCCGGGGGTTTCTGAGGTTAGAATTTCAGAAGTAAAAACCTTGGCTTTCTGGCTCAGAGTGGCTGGTGGTTTTGAACTGCTGACTTTGCAACCACAGCCCAAGGAGTAACCACTAGGCCACCAGGGCTCCTGAAACTCATGAAGAAGTTACTTTTTCTTCTGTAGCTTTCTTTTTAAGATGTGTTTTCAGAAGTCCTTCTAACAGACCTCTCACATCTGGTTGATTAGAGTTGTCATGTGCCTATCCTTCAGTCATTTCAATCGTGATTCACACCAGATGGCTTTATTAGGAAGTGGCAGTAGACTGGGCAATGACTCGTATCTGCCACACAGGGGCTAAGCATTCACAGTTGTTCAGTCCGTGATTTTGCACTATAAATTCTGGGGGGGGAGCCTGAGAGGAAAAGACTTGGGACCTAAATTGCACTTTTGGAAGATGTCTCTGAGATTGGTATGTTGGTGAACACTTTGCTGAGTTCACCCTTCCAATCCATTTGAAATTTGTCTGGGTCTATTTCACTGTTCATTTGAGCATTTTTGTTAATTGCCACCGAGTTGGTTCTGCCTGATGGTGAACCTTGTGTGTAGACTAGAACGTTGTGTCAGGTTTTCAAAGTTAGGACCCTTTGGAAGCAGATTGAGACAGGTTTAAACCACCTGTCTTTCCGGTCTTAGGGAAGCACTTCACCACGGGCTCCTGTATAACTTGCAGGATGGAGTGGCTTCTCTTAGGGTATGCTTTTCTTCCAACACGTTCCTTTCGTCTGGTCACCTCATAAGCGGAACAGTGGCCTTTGCCATTCCTTTGTTCCTGATACCCCAGCCCCCCCACCCCCCTAGAGTTGACTTGTTATATACAGCAACAATGTGTGGAGGACCACTTGATAATCTTACTGCCTCTGTCTGGCTCTCTTCAGAACAGCGTGATCCTCTCGGCTGCCATCTTCATCACCCTCTTAGGCCTGCTTGGTTACCTTCATTTTGTGAAAATTGATCAGGAAACCCTATTAATCATTGATTCCCTGGGCATCCAGCTGACTTCTTCCTATGCCTCAGGCAAAGAAAGCACCACCTTCATTGAGATGGGCAAGGTGAAGGATATTATCATTAATGAGGCTATTTACATGGTAAGTATTTGTATGATAACCCTTCCACAATGTAATTATTTTGTTTTGGATTTTTTGTTGTTGATACCATGTGTTTTTAGTAATGGAAAACGTGGAAATCAAAGGTAAAATGTTTTTTAATGCAATATGGGTTCTATACAATTAAGTGGGATACACACCCCAAGTGAGCTGTGGTGGTACCATTGTTTATTTAGGGTTACATGGTTACGCAGAGTCCTGCCAGGTGGCATCACATACTGTAACTGGGATAAAGACTTCCCAACAAACCCGAGGCGCCGAAAATAAGGGTGCATGACGTACATCCCATGAGTCACGAGAGGGACAAGTATGACAGGCCTTTCTGGAGGAAGTAGCAGATGGGGTCTTGGAGGGGGGTGGGGGTAGGGGTGGCAAACTGAGTCTTAATACCCGAAATGCTTGATGTCACAGGATCAGTGAGAACGTTTCTGCTCTCGTACTTCCAGTGTTTTCTTTTTGGCAGGCATATTTATCAATTTGAAGAGAAAAACTTAGATTGAAAAGATAGATCCTTTATTTTTAAAGAGAAACAACAGAATTTTATGAATAAAGCAGCAGCACTTCTTCAACTGTGGTTCCTGGACCAGTTTCAAAATACTTTTTCTGCCATGTAAAGAATGAGATGATACTTCTCTCCTGTTTCAAGGCTTTCAAGCGTTCTTCTACTTAAGGGATAACATCATTTATGAAAGTTTTGAGTCTCTCCTTGGAGAAGACGAAAAGAAAACAGTTACACTTAGACTTCTGCTGTTTGGTTTATTTTCTTACAGCAGAAGGTGATTTACTACCTCTGCATTTTATTGAAGGATCCGTTGGAACCACATGGGATATCCCAGGTAGTACCTGTCTTCCAGGTGAGCATACAATCCTTTCCTAAGTTTTCTTTCTCCAGAGAAATCTTCTGCCTCTTCTCCCACCCACCTCCTGCATGTACACTGAAGTTTCGAGCCAGTGGGAATGTAAATTTTTGTTGTCAGAGTTTTTGAGGAAATCAGCCAGCCATTTTCAGTGATAATTAGGATTTTAGTTACTTTGAATGTTCTTCTCTGAGCCATATTAGTTTCAAAAATAATAGGAACTCATGAAAATTTTAGGGGGGGAAAAGTCAAATATGTAACATCATCTGCCTATAAAATTACCTCTCACACACTGACTCTTGTTGGTCTTCTGTTGTAGTTTGACCTAGATTTCACGGATCATCATATGCTTAGTATTATACACCATTGTATGTTTTGCTTTGATTTTAAATCATTATTTAGTATGTACATTTCCATGCTTCTACAAAGGCCATTTTACATATTTTAAATAATTTTAAAGCATTCTATCATTTTGAAATATCAGTTTAGTTACTTTATTGCTAGATTTTGCAATTATGTCAAGTGATTGTTTGATCTTATTAAAAAAAACTTGGCCAGATATAATTAAATTACTGCCTTTTCTTTTTCACAGATGTAAGGTAACTAACTTAAATATATTTTTTATAATGTAGTTTCAAATTCTAATTGTTAAAGTTAATGAATAGTTTTGTGGATTTTTTTTTTTAGTGTTTGAGATTGGGCTCCAGCGATTGGACCACTTTACTATGGTATTGGAAATTTGAACTTGACCTTCTACAGTCTAGGCTAGCAGTGGATTCATCTACTTTTTAGTTTAATAGATTAAGGCATTTTAAAATTAAAGTGTAATATCTTTAAATGATACTCTTCTTATTTCTTTAAGTATCTCCTATCAGTATTGTGTTTTAAACTATCCACCTCCTCTATTAACCTATTAAAATCTAGATATTGTGTATTTGTAATGATTTTTTAATATTATTTTGGGTAGCTCTTATTAAATATTCATTTTTTTTTCTTTCTTGGTATATTTTAATTTGTTCTTCGTCAGTGGATTGATGTTGTTGCTGTTTTGTTGTACATTGTTGCTTGGTTTTGCTCTGTCTTGTCTTCGTGCATGTTGTTGTCTCCGCAGGCCTGTCTGGATAGGACAGGCTGGATGAACAATCTACTTTTCAGTCACTCCATGGTTGCACTTGTGTGTGTTTTGTACCTTCCTGGTGACAGGCCAAGGTGCAGTCTCCAGGAGTTAAAGGCATCTGTTTGGTTTGGTTCATTTCTTCCATGATGCTCACACTGAACCTTCTCTTATTAAATATTCTACATGTTTTTTTTCATTCTGTGGCTTTTCTTTTCATTTTGGTTGTGCTGCAATTCATTTCACAAAACATTTTTCAGTATTTACATGTTCAACTGTCCTGTCTTTGATGATTGTATCTCAGCTCATGATACTTCCCGAAAGGGGACTGCCCTTGTTACTCTTGCTCACTTCTACATAGAGGTCATGAAATTCAGACAGATTCAAAAACTGTCTTTTGAGCTCCCCCTCAACACGGTTTACAGGCTGGGCTGTGCGCAGTTTTGGATTCCTCCCGGCAAAGTGCTATGAGGTCTGAACTTCTGCCCTCTGAGCTCACATTGATGCCTTTTATGCCCCTTGGTGTGGGTGAGAGATTGAGATTGCACAGGGATACAGCACCACTCAGCACTCTTATGTTCATTGACTCTGCATTTTTTCCCCTTTGGAATTCAGAATGCCAAACCCCGGCTGGACTGCTTGATTGAAGTGTACAGGAGTTGCCAGGAGATCCTGGCACACCGGAAAGCCACATCCACAAGCCCATGAATCCCAGCATTCAAAAGGCCAGTATTGTCTTCCATGGGAGATGACTCTTAAGCCATAGTGGCTAGTTTATTTTCTGTATGCGAAACCATCAGGTGGACACATTCCTAGGAACCAGTGTGGATACTGTGGAACTCAGAGCCATATATCGAGCAGGTGACTGGAGACCGAACTCATTGTGTGAGCTACATATTTCTGTGTACGTCTGTGTTCCCTTGGGAAGATTTTGGCTACTTTACCACCTGAGGGGAGACATTAAGAAATGGTTATGTCAAAAATAATATCAGCAAAGAACCCTTGTGAAATTCCCAAGCACGTTCAGTGTACTTTTGTTGAAATGTGTGGAATAAGACAGTGGGAAACTGATCGCGAATCCCTTGAGAAGGAGTATTTCATACTGCTTAGCACCCGTGTATGAAAGTTAATAAAAGAGAAGGGAAGCCCTTCAGGTACTGGTTAGTAAAAGGAAATGTCGCCTAGCTCCTGTGTTGTGTATAGGGTTAATTCACAATTCTTGTAATAAATCTCCTTCCAAAACATACACAATAATTGCCTGGTTCACAGACAGCTGCTTTTTATTGACAAACACGATCATGGCATTTCAGTCATGGGTGTCAGGCACATTTCTGTTGCTCAGCATTATCTACGTTTTCAAAGGCTGCTTTTGCTGAGAGGGATGAGACAAAAGGTCAGATAGAAACTTGACTTTGGTTTTCAGCCATGAGGTTATTTTGTTACAGGAGGATTAATCAAGAGAATTATAGAAGCCTTTGTTTCTAGGGAAGCTTCTTCTGTATAAAACTAATATACTCAGAACATTCCTGAAGGGTTGGGAAAGAGAGGGTGGGGGAAATAGTGGCCTCAAGTTCTGTATGAAGTGCCATTCTTGCTTAATCTTTCTTGGAATCCTTTTTTTTCCCCCCTTCCCCTAAACCTCTTAATTTATTATGTACTGCCAGGTAGATAATATCCTCATTGGTCCAACAGACACTCAAGATGTTATTAAATCAAAGTTGTAATCTGTCTTTTATTACACTAGCCCTGGAGGGTTTTCCAGGAACCTGTGTCTATGTGAGATGTTGACTTGTTTGAGGTAGATGTGTCTCAGCTAGGTCCTCAGACCCTAGTGGAAAAGGTGGGAACACAAGTGGGAGATGGCTGTAAAATGGCCTGCCTTACAAAGTCAAGTTCATTTATAAGCTGCAGACTGCTAAGCATTTTCCATCATGCTTGTTAAAGAGTCAAGGGGAAGCTTCCAGCAGCTGCGGTATTGAGATAGTTCCAGCCATGTGTTTGCAATGTGCTGGCAGCACACATTGTTAGGGTTAAAGGCTAGGTTCTTGGATGCTACTGCTAAGCCCGTCGTTTTGAGCACTTTACTGACAAATGAGCTGTGAAATAAAATTCATTTTCTCAGGTATTGGACAATCAGAGTGTGAACTCTTTCTTGTGTCCCCCCCCCCCTTTTTTTAGGAGGTGGAGACAACAATGATCTATTATCTCCTCTGCTGTCAACTGGGGGTGGGGTATCGGTCTCATGATGGCAGCAGAAATTGAAGTTTTCTTTCACTAATGCTATTAGGCTAGAACAAATATGGCATATCTGCCCTCTGTCCTCAAACTAATCCCCAGCAGAATTTTGCCAGAAGTCTCTAGGACACTGAGTCTTGAGGGTTTGTGTTCTTGACTCATCTGTGTAGCCAGCCTTTCAGAACAGCAAAAAGCAGAACACATTTGTGTGACTTACCAAAGAAAGGGTAAATACCTGATCACCTCACCCCACAGTAGTGAGTACAGCCTTCACTGAGCCCTGCCCGATCATTCAGATGGGTCACAGAGTGGCCAAATGAATCTCCCTGCTGCTGTGTGGTACTGAGCTTGGCTTACAGTCTGATGTGTAAGAAGTTTCAGTCTTGGGAGGACAAGCTAGTTCTGCAAAGACAAGCGTCGATACCCTGGAAGGCATACAATCACCTACTTGCCAGTAAAGGAAGGGCGAGTCTTATTTGTTATCCAGTCTTACCTTAAGCTAACACCTTTCCCACCTGGGAAAGAAGTCCAGTTTTAGGCTTTTGTTAGAGGTTCAGTTGAATTAGAAATTTCAGTCCTATCCTGTTCAGGGATGTTGGGAAAACTTCAAGTATAAATCCCCAAATAAGGACCTTACACATTGTAGAAAAGACAAGCTTCCCTGAGAGTACCTTGGCGTGTGTAGCACTGATGCCCTCAGATACAGTGAACCATTCCCTGTCTGTCTAGTAGAAGGTAGCAGCCAGAGTTCAATATTCTTGTGGAAAAGAGAGTGGTCATCACTGGGTCTAGATTTCAAGAAGTTGGGCCCTGAAACATAGTAAGGCACCTGGAGAATAAAGGCTTTACAGACTGAAATACTCAAAACCTTTCACAGAATAAAGCAAAGAGGACAATTAGACCCATCACAGTAGTAACAGACACCCCAGGATATGCAGTTAATCCTACAGGGACCAAATTGGGGGTATGGTGGATAGGAGATCTTCACAGTAACATTGGCCCCTTGGTATCACGTGGAATAGAAGCAAAGAACTGTCGCCCGTCCAGCTCCCAAGGTTGTCTGGAAGCAGATGGGCTGGTAGGTGGATTCACAGTTGCAGAGCAGTAGTTCATGTAGCTGGCCATGATGAGGGTAGCCTCGGCAATCTAAAGAAAAGGCAGACAGGAATGGAATCTTAGTTGACTAGGGATTGTGTTGGGTGCATGACTTTTCTGGGCATCAGCTTCATCATCTCCTGAGAGAAAACATCCAAAGGGCATGGGATCATTACTCCGAGGTACCTCTAGAGCAGGGTTGGGCCATATAAGACATATGGAATCATCAGTACTGCTAACACAAACACAACTCACCAAAGGAAGCATTTCCAAGTCATTACATTCAAACAAAACAAACTTACTGCTATCAAGTCAGTGTCGACTCAGCAACCCTATAGGACAGGGTAGAATTGGCCCTGTGAGGTTCCAAGACTTTCACTGTTACCAGGAATAAAAAAGCCCTATCTTATGCAGAGTGACTGGCGGTTTTGGACTGCTGACCTTGACGATCGCAGCACAGTGCATAGCCACACCACCACCAGGGTTCCTGCCAGTCAGTACATTAGAGGTGAGTTAGTTAAATGTTTGGCCAAATCTAGCAGGCTAATTTGTAAGATGATAATTTTGTGTGGCCTGGGAAAGATGTTAGAACTATCCAAATGGCTCTTGGCAGAAAAAAGTTTCGTTTCTGCTCTAGAAGCTCAGGGAAATGGGCAACTGTTGGTCTGGAGGTGCTGTGAGATGCACAACACCCTCTTGTGAAAAGGAGAACTGGCTACTCTTGACTGCCTATACCCAAGCCAAACTCACTACCATTGAGTTAGTGTGGACTCAGAGTGACCGCTGTGTTCTCCAGGGGAGCTGCTGGTGGTTTCAAATTGTTAACCCTGTGGATTACAGCCCATCACATAACCACACATCAACAATGCAGCTCACTGAGGAATGGGGCCTTCTGGGAACAATTCTGTCCTCTCATTTGGCAGAAGTGACACTAAAAGGAGAAGTAAAGTTCGGTAACCTGCAACCTTAGGGTTCGAAGAGGCAACAGGCTTCCGGTTACTCTCAGAAGAGATTCAAGAACTGTAAATCAGAACTTTGTAGTTTCTGAGCCTTTGTACTTGTTATTTCTGCTAGTTAAATATCTCCTGTTGACTAAACTATAAGAATGGGGGAGCCCTGTGGATTGTCTCATTTGGTGGTAGTGGTAAGGTCAGCAGAATTTCCTTTAGAACAGTGGTTCTCAACGGGTGGGTCACGACCCCTTTGGGGGTCAAACGATCCTTTCACAGGGGTTGCCCAATTCATAACAGCAAAATTATGGTTATGGAGTAGCAACAAAAATAATTTTATGGTTGGAGGGTCACCACAGCATGAGGAACTGTATTAAACAGTTGCGGCACTAGGAAGGCTGAGAACCACTGCTTTAGAAGGAAGCTGGTATGGCTCTAGAAACTGCTGTGAAGTAGTAAAAATGGGCTTGCATGGTGCTGGGAGTTGAAAGAACTGAAAATGATACAAGTGAAAAGCATGGTAGTAGTTGGATCCCAGTTCATTCCTCTCCCTTACTAGCTCAGCGGTGACTACTGAGATGCAACTCTACCTGAACCCTTTGGAGTACTGATTAGACAAGGGCAACGATGTTATAAGGGGCAGGGCCTTTCTAAAATACCACATCTTCTCTAAGTCCCCACCCTGACCCCCACCCCCACCAACATATCAATAAAGTAGAATCTTTTAGCAACTGTCAGACCCACCTTGGGAGCAGCCATCCGGAATATCAACTTTTCAATGTGGCTTCTTCCAGAAATCTGGTCTGGAAATGATCTAATCACAAGCATGAAGTCATCCCGGTAGCCACCGAAGGTAGTCACTGAAGAGTAGGGGTAAGTGATGTGCACTTGCTGTGGAGATGAGTGAGTTAGTTCGGGGGGATCTTTGCACTTTCGGCCATTTTTTTAAAAAACTTTTTATTGGTGAATTAGGGGAAGGTTTATAGAGATCATTAGTTTTCCACTTAATAATAGAAATTTAATTTTCAACCTATGCACTGCAATCCCCTCAATATATCATCATTTATCTCCCTCCAAGTGGTTCCTTTTCCCACTCCCTTTCCTAACCTGAACTTTGTCCTTGGGCAAATGCAGCCCTTTGGATCTTAACTAGCTGTTTATTATAACACAAGTGAGTTCCATTCCAGACCTGAAGGGGGACTAAGGGTCAAAGTTTTGGGCATTACCCCTTGCCTATCTGACCAGTAAATCTGGTCTCTTAAATGATTTTGATTTCTGGTGCACATTTTTCTCCCATATTTGAGAGAATATATTTTCAAACCAGTTGAGACTGGTAGTTGGGCACCATCTAGCTCTTGTGGTCTCAGGGTTATGCAGACTGATGTTTATGTGGCTCACTAGACTAATTGTTTTCATGGCTTTTCTTTCCTATGGATGGAGGGAACTATCATCTCTTGAATCTCATAGGTGCAGGTAACTTTAATCAAGAAGGGGGAACTCTGGAATGGGGAGTTTTGAGATCTGTCTTGAAGGTCCAAGAGCTGTGTCTAGACTCTGGACCAGTTGTGTTTAGGTAGGTGTAGGGGAGCCATGATCACTTAGGTCAATCAAGAAGAGAAGATAATGTTCAGAAGAAGGGGATCAGGGATCTAGCTCTCATCCCTTCATACCATAGTGTTGTGGTCCAGGATGCTGACACCATCCTCATTCACAGCAATCCACACTGGAATATTCTCCTTGAAAGACATCTGGGCAGGCTGGAAAACATGAAAATCCCATGAGACATATCCACAGCCTATAGATTCTTAACCATAAGATATCTCTGAGAAAGAGCATCTCCAGAGAGATGCCTTCTTTTATTAAAAACATTAATTTAATAAACATTATTTTTCTTGTTCTCCAAAACAAGAAAAGAGGTGCTAAGCAGTGATTCCAGCTCTTGTCTTGAAGAACTAGAAAAATGGTGCTTGCTTATTAAATAGACAAGGCGAGCCATGGTAGGAGACATCTAGCCCTCCAGTTCTGGCTACCTGTACCATCTAGGATAAAGGAGACAGAGCAGACCTACCACCCACCATGCCACAGAACACTGATTGGGAAGCTCTGTGGTGCAGAGCAGAGACCACCATGAGCTGCCTTGCTTTGGGCCTGGGGAACTGTTTCTTCTCAACTCTGAGACCCTATGAGTGAGAAAAGTTGACAATTTGGTTGGCATTTTCTGGAAGAACTCATTTTTACTGCAGTATGATAATCCTAAATCCCCTTCTCTTCCTAAAAGGCTGGGGAGATCAATGGGCATGCCACCTTTATTGGAAGATTTCCCACCCACCCAGACTAAATGTCCCCGCCTTTTACAACACCCTTATCCTTTTCATAGCACTTGCAACAGTTTGTAAACATTTTAAAATTAAAATGTACATTTTTTATGTGCACAAAGAAAATGATTTGGTTAAGTGTACATTTCCCGTTAGATGGAGAAGCTCCATGAAGGCAAGCACTATGTCTGATTGTCTCCTCTTGGAACCTCAAGCAAGTAATACAGGGTCTTAAGACAAGGTGGAATGCAAGAACTATTTGTTATTACGTATGCATATCCAGTGTCTGATCTGTATCTTCAGGAGCATCAGCAGCTTCCAGGACAGGATAATCTGTGATTAATGTGTAAAGTTCATGCCTACCAGACACCCAGTGAGGTTGGGTGATGAGTTCCAACTGAAATTACTCGTGGTCACCTGGCCTTCATGCAGCAAAATTAACTGTTGGCCAAGCAGTTCTATTCCTTTGTGTGCCATATAAAGCCATTAGTGACGTATTTGGTTAAGTTTAAGCATTGTTTGCCAAGGGAGAAAGAGGAGATTTTCTACTCCTGTAAAGAGTTACCATCTCAGAAACCCACAGAGGCAGGTCTACTCTGTCCTGTAGCATCGCTATGAGTTGGAATTGACTAGATGGCAGTGAGTTTGGTTTGGTTGAGAAACATCGTTCTGTCAGTCAAAATTTTTTTTTTTTAATGAAAGTGTTCCTGAGAGGGCGAACTTGTTAAGTCTGAACTCTTGTGTATGGTTAGTTGATCTTATCTTTTCTTTCGAGGGCAATATTGACATGCCAACAAAGGAAAGATGAGGATTACTCATAATGAACTGGCCCAGAAGCAAGCAATCCCTGCTCTGGACCTTGGAATGCAATGCCAGAAACGGGTGGAGAGGCAGTGACCCCTGGTGGTGGTTCAGTGTGGAGGAAGGGACTGCACACAGCTGGCTCAAACCTGGCCAGGTGATGAAAGTTCCAGGAGAAATGGCATTCCTGAGAGTGTGGACTGATTTCCATTGGTAACCACCGGAACTTACCTGAGCAGTAAAGAGTTTAGCACCAAAGAAGGGCCATTTCCGGGCCACGGTCAGGTAGATTCGGATGCACTCAGGAGGGGAGCAGCCTTGCAGTGCTGCCCACTTTGTGGCCAGCATATCTGTCAGGTGCCTAGTTTGGATGAAAAGAGGGAGGGACCCGGTTCCAGTGAAGTGCCAACATGCTTACCCTGCAGTTCCTGCCTCCCCACAGTGGCACTCCCCAAGACCATGTAGCTTACTTCAGTTGTTCAGGGGGCACCCCATGTCTATAGCGCTGTGGGTAGAACTTATCTAGGACCTGCTGGAGGAGATGCTGAGACTTGGCAGGAGGTGTGCCCCCAGAGCCTGGCGGGCTGGGCCTTTCCAAGTCCCCGTATTCTACCTGTGGAAGAAGCACATGAGGATCACAGATCTAGAGGTGGACGTGGAGGGGGAGTTGGAGTGTGAATGGACGTGAACAGACCATTCTCAAGTTTCACAGACACTAGAGAAACCTTCTTTGGTTCCCAAACTTACTTGTCCTTCTGCCCCTTTTTCATAAATAAATAGCATCTCCCCTCTGGCAATTAAAAACCTTTATACTGTAGCCCATAATATAGGATAAAGTATAGGTACCTGCTTTTGCAACCCCCCTGGATCGTTCCAGTGCCCCCAAAGGAGCAGAATAGCCCATATTAGGAAACACTGCTCTAGACTAACTCTCATTTTATAGCAGAGCATGAAGAGCCACGGTTAATTAGTGGCAGACAAGGGAAAAAGAGTGTGGACATTCTGGCTCTCGAGAACCCAAAGAGCATATAAATACAGGTGAGAGGCCTGCAGACGCTACTTATCCTAGAATACGGCAGTTTTCCAAGTGTCACCTTTGGAGCCAGACAGCTGCTTCAAATGCCAGCACTACCACTTACCAGCTCTATGCCACTGATCAAGTACTAAAACTCTTAGGACACAGGAAATGCTTAGCACAGGGCACACTACAGAATAGTTAATGTTCACTATTATGAAGATCCGCTATTACTATTTCCCCTCCAGCATGCAGGTCCCAGACTCTTGGTGGGGGGGCATGAAGAATGTCCCAGGTACTGTGGGCAAGCTAGTCTTTGAAAGGTAACAGAGGAGTCAAAGTCCAATTCTGTGTTTGTCTTCCTATTTTACGTATATTAATTACAAATAGATTGTGTTCATGATAATAAGAAGACACATATACACACATACAATCTCATTTGATACTAAGAACAATCTTGTGGGGCAAACTCATCCTAGTCTACATATAGTGGGTGACAGCTTACAAACAGTATCATGTACATGATCTCATTTAATACTTAGAACAACCCTGTAGGTCAAACTGGGAGGCTCTTTTTCTATAGCACACAAAGAAGGAAACTACAGCACAGAGAAGCCACTTGCCCAAGACCTCATAGCTAGAAGGTGGATAAGACTCAGACCCAAGTCTTTAGATTTTAGTGTTGGACCTTTGGCCCCTACCTACAGTAAGTCAGCTTCTCTCCCAGGCCAGGGCCAGCACAGGTGCCCTCATGCCACCAGATCTGCAGACTCACATGTGTTTCACACTGCATGGCGTGTTCTCCCCACGTGTCCACTGCTGATTCCAGAACAGAAACTTACCTGGGCCATCAGTGCAGCCATCTCAAGTGCCAGTTCCTTGTTGACAGGAAATCTCCCCGCCACTATCTCACCACTGGTTTGAGAGGCAAGCAGCAGCCGCTCTCGCTCTGTCTCCCCTTTGACTTGACTCCGAAAGTACAGCCTACAAGGCAGGGAATGAGAAGAGGCCAGAACTCAGCTGGGCTCCCAGACAGGGGCTCTGTATTGCTTATGGACATTTCTAGCCATCTATACACCTGTCTTTTACTGCCTCCGAAAGTTTAACCCAGTTTGACAAAGAGCAGATACAGGGCCATGTGAGTTTCACACCAACAATAGCATGTGCTTAACTGTGAATACATTGTTGGACTTAGTCGATTTGGTGGGAGGGATGTAGTATGCCGAATCAGAGCTTAAGAGGGAAATGGATGAATTAAGATTCCAATAAACTAATGAACATTTTTTTGCCTAGGGACCTATCTGAGCTAGAAATTCTAAAGTTAGTATATCTATTTCTTGATTTCCTTGAATTGGTATAGGAGCCTTTTTATAAGGCTCCTCTTTAGCCTTAAGTGTTTGGTACCCCTACAAAACTGTACTCAAGGCAACCCGCCAGGTCGGTCTGTTTTCTTGGTGGAAGTGTGAAGTATAAAGAAATGCTGGCTGAGAGCGTGAGCTGCGCAGGGCCTCACAGGATCAGAAGCAGCAGCAGCTGGGGCCCGGGTTCATGACCACCAAGCAGTGCTTCCATGCTCAGGCCTGCCCACCCAGGAGAGGCCACGCAGTGAGGGAGGGTCTGGATGGCACCCTCTGGCAGGCCTTGTGTTTGGCCCCACCCTCAGCCAGTGCTCAGGACCTGTTCTTGCACATCAGCTTCACAATGCGTGTGCCACCCTCGGACTTCCCAGGATGCAGTTCCTTCAGGGCTTGTTCCCACTTGGAGATGGCATCACAGATCTTGAGGAGACAAGAGAGGAAAAGTCAGAAAATCCAGAGAAGAGGGGAAGCCAGGTCCAGGCAGGGGTCAGAGTGGAGCAGCTCCTGTCAGGAAGCTGACCTGTCAGGCCTCACGATCCCGGGATCTCAGGTGTGCGTGACTCCCTGATGAAGAGATGGAGAGTGGAAGGGTCCCTACGTGTGGTGTGTGGAGAGTGGAAGGGTCCCTACGTGTGGTGTGTGGAGAGTGGAAGGGTCCCTACGTGTGGTGT